CCACTTGAACATACAGTACAAACTCCATGCAGATAGCACTCCAGGATCTGAACCCAGGGCCCCTATAATATTCAGGTAAAATAAGTTAATAAGTGTGTCCTGACACCAGCACTATGATGACTGAAAAGGTGAACATATAAACATATGGGTAAATACAGCTGTGTTCGTGAACTAGATGATTCTTCTCCGGTGTGCCTGCCATCTATAGTTAATGGATATGAATCAAGAAACACCCTTGGGTCTTGAAAAAATGTATTCCCGTTAAACAAGATAAACTAATTCTCCCTGCTATATTTCAAAAAGAAATCCAAATAGTTTCACAAATATAAAAATACCCCTCCCTCTAGTTCTTAAATACTTGGCTATTTTTGGATCATCAAACAGAAGCCCTGCTATGTTAGCTAGACTGCTACAGCTCATTTACTGCAGCTTCATGCTCAGTCCTGCTTCTTGGATTTATTTATTTATTCTCCTCCTAGCTCTTCTTTGTTGTCTCTTTTTAAAGCCTAACATAAGGTTTGAACATAAGATTTTCTGCTCTTTTCTAAAGGGTTCTAGAAATGTAAAATTTGCAGTCTTGGGTGAATGTGGTCTCAGGAATTCCTTAACTGAATGGACAAGCTGTAGAAACACCAACGCACTGATCTAGATCCCAGACACACTGGTGTCTGGATGTGTGTGGGAAGGAGGAATCTCTCTCTTATATTCAAAACACCAGTCAATATTGGACTCTCTTAAAAAATAGAAAACAAATGTATACTATAATAATAATGTTGCTTTATTAGCCCTATACAATTTCTTGCATTAAGAATTTGTCTTTCTGCATACCCTAGTTTGCTCTCCATGAGACACAGACAGGGAGAGAAGCTTGGGGTCAGAGCACAGGGTCAGCTATTGTACAGCACCCCTGGAGCAGTTGGGGTTAAGGGCCTTGCTCAGGGGCTCAACAGAGTAGGAGTCCTCTGCCAGCTGCAGAACTTGAACCAGCAACCTTCCGGTCACAAGCACAGATCCTTGCAAAGGAACAAGTGTCACATTCGAAGAAGGCTCCACAGCCAAAATGCTTTGTTTCTTTTCTTCTCTTTTTGGCATGGAATAAACTTTTACTTGTTCCTTATATATACTATATCTAAGCATAATATATATATAACTACTTAACCATATCAAATATGTACAGTATATTCCTTAAAGGCTTGTGATTTTTTACCACCAACATACTAACATTGTAAAGGCATTAATACTGTATATGAAATGTTTTGGTTGTTTTGATGTACTGTGTACAGTATATAAAACACAAAAAACACACAGTTGAACAGTTTAAAACACAATATTACTGATCCACTTCTGCTGCAATCCTTCCTTTCTGCAATACTCCTAGTTTTAACATTACACAAATATACACCTGTAGTATATTCTATCAAGGAATACAACTAAGATTTTCTTAAATCTAGATGTTGTTTATGTAAAATAAAAACAATGTTAAATACAATTTTTAATTTTTATAGTATCTGAGAATAAATAAGGATGAGATGTTGTGTATTATCCACAGAATCAGTAATTACAGTGGTTTGAGTCCTTTCAGCCAAGTAGTCACCATAAATGAGTATTTATCTGGTTACATAATGGATTAGTGTATATATATACATGTATATGTATAATAAAGGTGGTAACATACAGGTTATTTAATAATCTGTAATATTTGCTGACCTACACAGCAGCTGTGCACTGTAACTTTTTTTAATAACCTCTGCTGAAGTCACGAGGAATTCAAAATGATTACCCCTGAGGATATCTTCTGACAGCGCAGTGTGTTCAACACAAATATTTATCATGTTCTAATATTTTCTGAAATTTTTCCTTTCATTTACTCAAAATAATTGAAGAAGAGATTAAAATAACCGGATCTCTTTAGCCGTCACCAGAGAAAACCATGAGAGGACTGGGTCTAATTACTTAAAATTCTCTAGGGCACCCACAAAACCAACATGATGGACTTTTTCAAGATCATCATTGACAGAAGGACCAGAATAAATTAGTAGAAACATAGGGTAAATGTGCTTAAGAATAAAAACAGCAGTGGCACTAATTTAGACAAAAACAGGCTCAGAAACAAGCTACCCATCCCTGGTTCTGAAGTTAATACGTTGGCTTCATTGTGCTCAAATCAATTGATTCAAATGATCAAATGAAACAACAATAATTATCACCTAAAGGTATGTACCCAACATTTACAAATTCTCATTTACAATGAAAATCTGATCAAGAGGCTTTCACCACTGTTACACAGAATACAATGCACTGACTGATCAATAAAGCATTAATAACAAAGCATAATATGTCAATAAATGTAAGTGAAAATGCCCTCAGATATAAAGCTGGATACTTTCAGCTTACTTTGCAGATTTTTTAGTCGTTGGCATCAGCAAATTGAAATTCATTACACCAAAGGAGGTAAGAGTCTTGGGAAGTTCGTTCTGATAAACAAACTACAATACAAACTGTGAGATGCCATAAATTGTTTGGATAGGAGAGTGCTTTACAACTTCATGTTCTGGAAATTAAACAGGACGTGGTATGAATCATTTGTCTACTTTAAAGAGATGGCCAAGTAGTTAAACATTGTGGTGATGAGTGAGATAAAGGAGCATAAATATCAAATAGCAGAATGTTATCAGACTTTGACTTTTACAGGAAGAGGTTTTGAAGCAATTTGTAAGCTGTATCTCCATATTCCAGGGTGTGGAGTACCTATAATGCTTTTTTATGTATGTACTGTATGTACTCCACATTCTGTTCTATGGAGTGCTGTCTCTGTGTGCCGTGTGAGTACATACAGTCCAGCATCTCCAATCTCTAAAACTCCAGTTGATGACCTGCTTACCTCCTATCACAATGAAGAAAGTCTGTGGTCGCTCTGTGGTTTTAGACATCCCCTTCAGTTCTGGCCATCCTAAAGAATGTGGTATCCCATGCACCACTCTCTCCATGCTGCAAGTTTAGCTTTGAGTGGGGGGGAGGAAGATGATGTTGGAACCTACCTCTACTGCTCTGTGTAGAGTTCCTGGTGTCCTTGATATCTCCTGGGTGCTATGGTGCAAACTGCGTTCCTCCAGTTTTTTCTGTCTCTGTGTGTTGTGTGTGAGTCCACATAATTTCAGTTTTTGTCGTGGGCCTGGGCAGAGCTAATGGCTCAGGGCTGATTACCCAACTGCCTCTATGGCCCAGTGTTATGATGCATTGTTGATTTTAACCCCTTTTCTGGAAGCTCCCTCTCAGTCTGAATCCTTGTTACTTGTGTCTCACAAATGCATGTGTTACCTCTGAACTGCACAGTATACAGTATTATGAATGTCTGTGCAAGGAAGATCTTTGATCAATGGGGAGCTCAGGAACAAGAAAAGATGAATGCACCACTCTTATGACACTGGCCATTGTTTGCGGACTTAAAATTAATGAGCCCTCCTTATATTGTTCATTTATAGGACCTCATCACCTTATCCATCCATTTTCTGACTGCTTCATCCAATTCAGGGTCACACACGGGGATAACTTACAAACTCCATGCAGATAGCACCCCAGAACCAGAACTGAACCCAGGGCTCCAGCGGTGCAAGGCAACAGTGCTGATTACTGCACAATCATAATACATTTTTAATTGTATTCCAAAAAACAGAAGGGTCACATTTATTACCTCTCAATTTTGTTTAAAATTCAACAGAAACAAATCTACAGTAACATCCTACTTTTGGGTATTGTAATAGGAACCTTTGGAACTGTAGAAAAGGACTTTGAAGGTATCCTGTTTCCATGGGTTGTAAAAGGAACGATTACTGTATATGGAAAACATGTGGATATAGCATGTAGTCAGAGGGCTCTTTGAAGGTGGTAGACAAATGCACATTGACCTCCATAAGATGGAGGATTGTTGTAAAAAACTCCCCAAATCCTGAATCTACCACATTCTACTCTAGTGCTCATTCACAGAAAATTGAGGCTGCTGGTACTGTATAGTGGCAGATCTGCGAGTATATCTTGTCACCATGGGCTGTTTCAAGAGGCAATAGTTGTAAATCTTCAGTACACACTGGCATCTTCAGGGTACAAACAACCAAAATCTCTCAAATTTAGCATTCATTGCTGGGTTTCAAGAAGAAGTCTGTTCTGGCAGAAGTGACTCAAACTTCCCAAGCATTATTTGAATGACAAATGAAACAATGTCTTGTGGTCAGATTAAATGAAAATTGATCTTTTTGGAAATACTCATCAGTTTTACAGTATGTTGTGATATTGTGTGGGGGCCTATAATGTTATGGGATTGTTTTGCATCTATACTGTAGGTCCTGGAATCACTGTCAAGATAGACAGCTCCATTCCGTACCGAACTCCGCGGTTGTTACAATACCTTCCAGAAGAGGATTACAAAATACTTACTACAGGGGTGTGACTAAAAATAACCCTAATATTTTCTTTACTTATTTATGTTCCATGTGGATACGTGTTGCCAAGATACCTTCAACTTCATTGTTGTTGGTTTCCACAGTAAATTGTTACTTAATGTACTGGATTATAAAAGTAACAATGTATTGTAAGTCGCCCTGGCTAGGAGTGTCTTCTAAGCTTCTACTAATAAAAACATTGTGTGTGATGTTCAGGTCTTTTTTGCAACACATTAAAATGTGCATTTTTAAATAATTTCCTAGTAATAGTACAGTATATGACCTTCTATACATGCTACAGTAATATTATGAGTGCTGTTGTATTAAGCACTTGCTTTTTACAAAGCAAAACGCAGAACAAGACAAGCAATGGCTATAGTTATTAATTCCTAGAATAAAGATACATTTTCTTTAAACAGAAAGTATTTTCACAAACATCGTTTCCTTATGAGCAATGCAACACACTTTTTTATTTTTTTCCCCATGCAACACACTATCAGCAGCTTTATCACCGGCGTGATTTGATGACGTATGTTCTTTCTGCCCTGCGTAGAAATAGGCAGCCGGAAGAACTCGTTTGAGATCAAACAACGTGTTGCACTGTACAATATCAGAAAGGTAAGCACATGATTAGTATACGCAAAGTAATATCGCTTAAAGTTTTAGAAAATAGCGTAAACATCCATAAAAGTGACTCTTATAATATCTATTTTTGCTTGTCATAAATTATGCTATTAGCTATTTCTTTTCGAAACAATGTAGTTCAAACTTGCGGTAAATGCTGTGATCAACGAGCTTGCTGAAAATCTGCTGCCTTTTGGTTTTTAACATCAATGCATCAATTGATTTTCATTTTTATTGTCTATATAAGGGTCGCGGCGGTTCAGCATGTATCTGAAACAGCCACTGTAACGTCAATTGTGTGAACATCAGTTGTAGCATCTTGTAAATTATTGTTTCAGCGTTCTTAACAGTGCAAATTTGCAACGAATTGCATGAAACGGATATCAGAAAAGTGTGTTTTCACATGTCCCAAACTCATACACTACGACATGCAATATCATACCACCACAAAGATGAATGAAGAAAAATATAGTTGTTAGAGCAGACAGAATTGTAAGCAATAAATAAAGAGAAAAATGAGTGAGAATATTCTATGTAGATATTGATCACAGATATAAAGTAAATAAATCTGTCTTGTTTTCCAGACTTCTTCGATTTCACATGTTGAAAATTTAAAATATTGTATTTTTCTTAACAATACTGCTACAGTTTGTGGTACTGAAATGTTTTTCAGACATTGGAGCATGCCAGTGGTGGAATGGTGGCACAGTGATTAGCATTGCTGCCTCCCACCACTGGAGCCCTGGGTTAAATTCTGGATCTGTGGTTTCATGAAATTGTCCCATCTACATGAAGTTTGTATGTTCTCAAAGTGTTCATGTGGGTTTTCCCAGGGTGCTAAGGGTTCCTTCCACAGTCCAAAGACATGCTGGGAGTTTAATTGGCTTCTGGAAAAATTGCTCCTGGTGTGTGTGATAGATACTTTATTGATCCTGTGAGGGAAATTGTGTGCTCTGTGATGGACTGGCATTCCATCCAGAGTGTACCCTGACCCACTTGCTAGGACACTCTCCATCTTCCCTACATTGGTCAAAGTGGTTAACAAATGGGTGGATGGAACTTGTCTGTTTGTATTTTTATTGTGTGTATTTTGCCATTACACATTTAACTTTCTCAAAATAGGATAAATAGTTAAGTTTTCATGAAAAGTATTCATGTTTTTCTCTTTTTTTTTCATATAGACAGTACACCATGGAACAAGAGCATTGTGAAACAGCTCTGGAGCATTTGGTAGATGCCAATACTGTGGTAAATACTGTAGAAACACAGAAAGACCAGAGCAGTGCTTTAGCTCCTGAGTTACTGGATTCTCTGACAACAGACTCTACAAAAGTTGAGACAGAGTCCCTGACAAATCCATTAAGCACTGGCATTGAAGATCAGTACTCAAATAGGCATATGGTTGGCACCAAGTCTCCCACACCTGGTACAAATGAAGTAAATGGCAATGTGGTAGCAGTGCCTGAATGTTCTGAGAAAGCAGAGAAACATGATTCTGATATACAAAGAGACGGGCCAGAATTTGATGCAGGTGGAGCAGGAGTTAAAAATACCGGAACTGGAATACTTGAAATGAATCAAGTGGCTGATCACACATCTCAGAGTGAAGACATGGAGATTACAGTGTCATCAAGAATGGAGACACTTAATTTTATGAACACTCCTGAAGCTGCTGAAGCAGAGAGCCTGCCGGCTGGGAAGAATGTTACATTTCCTCAGGTTTGCATGATATTAAGGAGTGATGACAAGGAGACTAACCCGAGTGAAGAAAGTGACGACAGCAGCTCATCTGAGGACTCCTCTTCCGACAGGTACGTACTGAACAGCCTTGTTGAAAGATTTTAAACATTTCAGAAAACATTTACAAAGTGAAAATGCAGATCACCCTATTTGTATGTTGTAGTAGATGTATGAAACATTTTACTATTCTGACTTATTCTACACTATCCTGACTTCACACCTCTTGATTGGCCTCTCTTTCTGTCCCCTGCTCCTGCCACTCGCTCCTCCTCTCTCCCAGCCTTTGTTCTTCTGCTACATTACCTTTGCTTACTGCCTTGTAAGAAGGCTCACACCTGAAGAAGGCTCCACGGCCGAAACATGGTTTCTTTCTCCTTTTTTTCTGTATGGAATAAACCTATTACTTGTTCCTTTGCAGCCTACGCATGCTGACGCAGCTACCCACCTGAACTGAAACATTTTATGTCCACCTAAAACTTTTTTTGACCGGAAAAATGCTGTGAACCTATTTATAGATTAACATAGCAATACCACTTGCTAGTTAGATGTTATCAGATTTCAGAAGCTAAGCAATTTACTATTTACTGCTATATGTGTTCTTTCTTCCCAAATCCAATAATTATATGTTGCTGACCTCTTCAGCCAAGATGTTTCTTTGCCTTATTGTGGCAAGATGAAAAATATCGCCCTCAGTAGATTGTTTCACTACCCCGTTTATTCAGAGTTTGACTTGAGTTTACAGCAAAAATAGCATATTGCCGTTATTAAACATCAAATTATTAGATATTGTGTATTGCTTTTAAATAGAATCCTTTCTCATGTAGGGAATGTTGTTTGCCGTTTCAGAATTTTCCATTGTAACCTGTTTTCTCTGAATGATACATACAGATGTTATCATTCTTCATTTTGTGATTTATGGATTATTTGTTGCAGAACTAAGTTTCTGCAGTTTTTAAGAAGTCAGTACATTTTTGTTTTAATTTCATGTTTTTATTTTGTAGTGATTCAGATTCCTCTTCTTCCTCGTCCTCCTCCTCTTCATCTTCTGCGCTTCTGCCTGCTACACTAGGTGAAGCTGATGATGATGATGATGAGTGCATGGCTTTTGGTAATGGGAAAAAAGCACATCCTGTTAAAACTAAAGATGAAATTCTCATTGAGGTATGTTATGCAAATATTTTTGCCTTTTAATAAACAGTGTAACCTCTAAGAACCTTGAGTAGGCTCTGGTAAAACAGTTATGGAGCTTTGTTATTTGTTACTTCTCTTGATAGCTACAGTGTCTTGTGTATTTCACTTTTTAGGCTGTACCTTAAAAAAAGGTAAAGAAAAAAAGATTTTTTTCTCCTAAACTGGAAGCAACATGTCTTTTATCATTGACCCAAGAGCATGAAAGATATCTAGAATACCAAGGAGTACCACTGCATTGTATCAGTTTTATGGATAATTAGATTACTGTGACATTTGTTTTCATTGGGTCTTGTAGAATGTTTTGACAAAGAGGTTTAAAGTTTTGGGGTACAATACCACTGTTCAAACAATAGCAAAAACAGTTATTTTGAGGTTATTTTGCTTCTTCATGATTGCAGTACTCCATACATATATAGTATTGTTGTGCTTAGTTTTCCGAAATCACTGCATTATTATAATCTCACTTGAATTTATACCACTTTAGTCCTACTGCGCCATGTTGCATATTACCATTACAATCATATAGTGTTTTGTAGTGAACATAAGATTATAATTGGAAACAAAAAAGAACCACTAGTGGCATAGAGGTGTACATACTCACGACACTGCAAGCATTTGGGTTTTGTTCACGGTGTTCCAGTGAAAAGATGTCATTATTCAAATTAAGTTGTTCTAATGCTTAAAATGGCAGTAGCTTTGAGGCAGGCAATGCTTTCTAAAGCATACAGAGTAAAACATTCCTCCAGTAATTTTGAAACAGTCAGTGAAAAGGTCATGTTTTATATCTATTATCATCTTTAATGCATATTTTGTGAGTTAAAAAAAAATTCCAAACATTAATCAATGACAGCTAGTACATTACTTCACGGGAAATCTAATCATCTGCTAACCTAGAAGGTCTATTGTCATTGTAGTTATGAGAGCCTCTCCATCCATTTTCTAGAACTGCTTTATCCTTAAAGAGTTAATAAGTATTGCAATGTATGTATTAGATGTTGGCAAGATATTTAGCAGGCATGCATACATTTTGAGCAATGCAACAGTTTTTTTGAACACAATATCATTTTTAACACATGCAGCATGTTTTTTTTTTTAATGATGGTAGACAATGTTTCTGTAAAGTAAAAGAAAGGCTTATATTTTGCCTTAGGTATTAAAGTCTGTAGTTAAAACTTTCCTTGTGCTCTTTTGATAACACAAGTGTGCCATGCATGCCTTTTGAAATCTCTTGCTCTTTCTGCATAGCAGCAGAGTTTGTTCAGACTGCACCAGGCTTTTAATTATGAAAAGTTTTTATAATTAATTTATGTAAATCAAATCAGTAAGCAAGATTATGATCTGCCTTAGCAGTTGTTTGTTTCACATGTTGAAAGTTAGCTTAGTGGTAGAATTACCTTGGGAGGTAGTTATTTCTGTTTAGAAGTTTTTTGTTATTGACATGTGTATCATTAGGTAGAAATACTTGACTCATATACAGTGGTGCTAGAAAGTTTGCGAACTCTTTAGAATTTTCTGAATTTCTGTATAAATTTAACCTAAAATGTTATTGGATCTTCATCTAAGTCATAAAAATAGAGAACTCAATAAAACAGATAACACACAAAATGATATACTTTTTCATTCATTTATTGATCAAAATGATCCAACATTAAATCTCTATGCAACTTGCTGTAGCTAACAGCCGCCTCGCTGAGGCAAGAAGGGAATCTCCAAGCTGGGACTTGGTGGTTTGGGCAGCTGTTGCCGTTTGCTGAGGAGAAGTGAGAAATGGCCAATTGAGAGAAGACAGGCAGGAGGCAGGAACAGGAAGGGAAGAATGCCAAGGGAAAGGTGCTAGCAGGACAGGATACAGGCAGCTTTTGGGCCTTTCAGATTTTGAGTCATAGGGACCGGAGTATGTTGTTATCCAGCTTTTCTGGTAGCTTGTCCTAAAGAAGAGCTCAAATGGCTGTTCCTGAAGTTTGACTTTTGAAGAAAAAATTATACTTTCGTCATTAATTTATTAATAAAACTTCATTATAAGGCAAGTACAATTTACATTAAATATTACACATTATGATGTGATGGTTATAATTATAATACTTTAAACTTAGTATTTTTGCTTTGGGTTCATGAATTGATTCATTTTATGAACATCTAAGACATTTCAAATGAGTGAAATCTATTCTTCCCATCTAGCACATTTGGTAAATAGAAATTAATTTATACGAGGATGTTATAAATCTATATCTTGAAATAATCAAGGGTATACTTGATTTAAAAAAAAAAAAACTTCCCAATCTGCATCTATAGCTTGGCTGGTTACTTTTTTCCAGACCCTCACTGCTTTTCTATTCTAAAAGATCCTTCTGTTAAGTTTGAAAAGCACTTGTCCATGGTTTATAGTGTCCCCACCACTATACTGGGGAATTAGGACCCACATAGACCACAGGGTGAGCGCCCCCTGCTGGCCCCACGAACACAGTTTCCAGGAGCATCCTTAGTTTTTCCCAGGACGTCTCCTATCCAGGTACTGACCAGGCTCACACCTGCTTAACTTCAGTGGGTTGCCAGTTTTGAGTTGCAGAGTGATATGGCTGCCATAGTCAACTATAGCTGTTACAATATTAATAGAACTCTGGTCTATTGAATGAATGAAGGTTGTTCTGATTTATTTCAGATTTCAATTATATCTATATTGCTTAATTAATAAACACCTTTTTAAATCCTTATTTATAAATTGAATTACGTTTTAAAAATTGATGATTTCTATCTAACGTAATATAAAACCTGACGAGTATGAGCTTTTCAGGGGCAGGATTTGAGGCCCCTGTATTAATTTATTCTTTAATGCATATAGTACTTATCTTGCCCTTCTGCATGCAGTGTGGTTTTTTATACTCATAAACTGTATCATTCCTAGTCTGGTTTATTGGAATGTCAAGCCTTTCTTTTGCAGTCAATCTGTGATGTTTATATAATACACTTCAAAGCATTGCATAATATGATTACAGTTTCTTAATAATTCTCTTACCTACAATGTTAAGTTTCAGAAAAGACTAGATCAATACGGACATTTTCTCTTGTAGGTTCTCTGACAAGCTGAGTAAAAAAGCAGTCATTAACCATTTGAACCATTTCTGGTGCTTCCAGTCCAGTCTGGTGTCATTTTTTACCAGTCTTTTTAACAAATTTAAAATCTTTCATGAAAGCCACTTCTTTTTTGGCACATATTCCTAATAATTAATATTTGAATTTGGTGACAAACTCCTAAGAGTATGCCTTTTGCATGTTTTTAAGTTTGACCTATATAGATTCTGAGAAATCTTGACTCAACTAGGTTATTGCTATGCACGTTTCTTTGATATACAGTAGAGTGCACTTCCCCCTCTTCTATCCATCCTCCTTTTCCAGAACACTGTGTATCCACTAATGTTATATTCATCACCAGCACTCTCCAGAAACTGTTGTGGTGATTCCAGTTACATCTTTATTACTTGCTAATGTCGTAGTTCCTATCTCATGTATAATGTTTTTAATAGTGTTTGCAGTTAGGTTAACAATTAGAAGTAAACTTTTAATTTGTGAGTCGTTCTTTGGATTCGTCCCCCCTTCAGTCTACTTTAAATGTTTTTTTTTAGTTCTCCATGGATCATTATGAGAAGACATTATGTGCTTACCTCATTTAGGAATGGAATGGAACTGTTTCAAATGTGAAGTGTGGTGTTTAAGCCAGTGTCATTTATCTCAACTTAGACGATGAAGTATTGTCGCCTGCTTTTGTTAGGAACCTGTCTGTTCTATAAACATCATCAGCAACCTTAGCTCTAGGGAGACAACATACAGCTGTTAACTCAGAATTCTTGATGCATAGCTTACATACAGTGTTTCTGGGCATAGTGTCGTCATCAACCACTCCGCCATTATTTTTTTTCTTGTGGTTTTGATGTTGCTGACACTGATTTTAAGTTTTTGTGACTGGTATGTGGACTTCACTGCCCATAATAGTGATGCCCTGGAAGCTGCTGCCTTGAGTTTTAAAGTATTAACTGTTTTCTTCTGTCACCATAATTGTCAATCAAACAACTTTTACTTCCACAGACTAGTTATTTGAACAACACTATATCATTGTGGATGCATCAGTTCTGCTTTTGCTGTTCTTGGTGTTAAGCTGTTTAACATATAAGCATAAGGAAGCTCGCAAGCAAATGTGTCATATTTGGTACTATTTTAGTTCTGTTTTTTGTTTTTCCAAAAGTACTTACCCAAAATAGCCGTTATAGATAGGTTGATAAGTCCTTATTCAAATAGAACTGTTAACATGGACTTTTTTCCATTTACTGCAAAGATATGGATATGACATATGGCATTCTGATGCAGTGGAACTGGAAAACAATCACAAAGATGGAGTATAAAATTATGTTGGTGAGGTGTATTGACTCATGGTTTCTCAGATTTTGGCCTGTCCTTGATAGACTGTTGCTTGCCATCTGGGGCTACAGCCAAGAACAGTGTACTAGTTTTCAACATACCAGTAACACAAAGGCCTTGTTCTATAGATACGCAGGGCATATTAGTTCCTCTCTGTGTTTTTCTTGATTTTTTTTTTTACCAGGCTTGACATTCACCTGGTTAAATCATTTCATTACTTGCGACAAATCAACACTAACATAATGATGCCAAAACATTTAATCAATATCCAAAAAATCCCTGTACGTTTCTATAAAACTATACATGCATGCATAGAGTGATATTTCTTTTTCAGTAATTAAGCAGATGTTAGGTGTCAACTGTATTACAGTATTGATACTTCGGCTGTATGTTGCAACTGTTTAGAGAGAAAAAAATATTTTCAATCTGTTACATTAATTAAGTGGTTAGTAATAAAGGCCAACTTTCTTTAATCAACATCTATGCCTCTTTTTCCTTTCCTGGAAAGCAGAGAAGCAAAGTACTTTTTAAAATTCCATTTGAAGACCAGACCATCTGTT